ATCACAGAGATTAGATTTAAAAGTTGAATCAAAACACAAGGCAAAAATTTCTACCATTAGTAGTTTTATCTCAAATATAAGCAAAGAGGTAGAATAGAAAGAAGCTATACATTGAGATGCTTATTTTAAGATGATTAGCAATTGGCTGAAGATAGATGATGTACAGTATTAGAATTACAGTCTTAGTAATGGCTTGTTCTATTTCAAGAAGAAGGTTTACATACTTAACAATGCTATACTTCAGATATGCATACTTCAAGAGGGATATGACATTCTAATATTTAGGCATCTAAGGCGTGAGGAGATTTTAGAGCAAATTTCAAGGACATGGTTTTCAGTAGGTTTGGACCATGATGTTTGATCTTTTATGGACTCTTAGAAGTCATGTTAATATAATAGAGCACGCAACGTGATATCTCTTAGGCTATTGTAGCCAATTTCACTACGTATGACACATTGGGAATAAATGACCATAGACCTCATTACATGTTGCCGAAGATGCCTTACATTCATACTATGATTGTTGTTCTCATGGATTGGCTCTTGAAGCAACTTCACTTGGTTGTGATGCAAACTCATTTTGATGTCCAAGCATTGGCATTTATCTTCTTCGACATTATCTTTTGTCACCATAGATTACTTTATATCATCATTTTAAATTGGAATCCGTGCTTTATGAGGATTTTTTAGCAAGCCTTGTTCAAGCTACTGAACATAAGACTTACCATGTCCATGATCTTCTATCCTCATATAGATGGAAAAATGGAGTGTGCAAATCAAATCTTAGAAGATATACTATAGGTATTTGTGGTAGTTCACCATAATGATGCAATGAATATTTGATGTCCTTGGAATTTACCTACAATGATAGTATTAAAGTAAGTACCAATTATTAACTATTCTTCCTTAATACTGGTTAGTATTTAATTACGCCGGTAACTCTCTATTGTTGTAATACGTGGTGTTTGGCTTCAGAATACAATGGATACCTGGTTGTAGAAGATAAAAGAAAAATTGCAACAACAAATCCTAATAATTCTAATAGATTCTTTAAAAAATTATAATTAAAGATTAACAAATATAATCAAACATCAATCAAATTCAATCAAAATTTTAAAAGAATTATATAAGAAGCACAAAGTATTCCTAGAAACCTTTTAAAGAATCAAAAAGAAATAACATAGAAATTTAAAAATATACTAGAATAAAAACCTTAATAAAATATTAAAATAGAAACCTTAATTAAACCTTAATCAAAATCTAATCAAATTCTAAAAAAATCTTAATTAAATCCTAATCAAATCCTAAACAAATCCTAAACAAATCCTAGTCAAATTTTAAACAAATTCTAGTCAAATCCTAAATAAATCCTAACCAAATCCTAACCAAATCCTAATCAAATCCTAAACATACCCTAACCAAATCTTAAATAAATCCTAATAATTCCTATAGCAGATTTAAACCTCAATAACCAATGAATAAATTATTGATTTTAACTCATATTTTGTACACTTCTTAATAGTTAAGTTGAAAATAAGTATAAAATTTTTGAAGAAGATCAAACTCACCAATAAGAAGTTCAACCCTAATATTTGCTCAAATATTGGCCGGCCTTCTTTTCCAATATATCCACAAACCCTCAAAATTTCATTTGTAGATTTACTACCAAACTTATAAAAATCTCCAAAAAGTATCACCTACTTTATTTCACAAATCTAAAGTCACCCAAAACAAATTCCAACTTTGCAAAGCTCTTAGAAAGTCAATACAAATTCAAATCACCCAAAACCAATGCTCAAAAGAAACTTATCAAGTCTGCTCCCAGATCTTACTCTCCAATCTCCAAAAGAACCTTTGAATCGTTGTCAAAGCTCAGTTTTGTGCCTTAGGGTCTGATTTCGATCTTGGTTCATAATCGGCCCTTTATAGGTATCAATATCTAATTTTTTAGATAATTTTTGCTAGAATTTACTCTTAACTTCCTCTTAAAGATGCCTATATCATTTATTTTTCCAATCTACTTTGTTTTGCCTTGTTTATGGCCCTACAAAGTAAGTAAAAGTCACTTTTCTAAAAAGGCAGCATTACTACTAAAAGTTTTACTACCTTCCTATTTTTTATCCATATTTTTCTACTTTATCTTTTAACTTGGATCTTCTATAATAAGATCCATATTATCATCTTTCACCATATAGTCATGTTATAACATGACACTGTTGTTCCATCAACACCAATAATCCAACAATAAATGAGTTTATACAACAACTTACAACTACCTTACAAGAAGTAGAACATCCCTTTTTTGGTGCATAGAATCAATAGAAGTAATATGTAGATAACTACCGATAGTATAAGACCTTCCAAGATTGTGATGAGATATTATTTTCTAATATCAACTTTCTACTTGCTACATCAACCTAAGTCCATAAGCTAATTCCTCGATGGCTTGGATCTTTTCACATTTCTGTAGTGATTTTTGATGTTGCATATTGCCTTGAGCTTTTGTCACATATTTGAGTCGATCTTGTCTTCCATATTTTACAGCTCAAGGAGTTTCATACTAAACCAAGGTGCTTCTTAGACTGACACCAACCACCACTACCACCAATTGTGATTAATGATCAATAAGAGTAAGAAGTAGATAGCATTTTGGAGCATTGCTAGCTTTGTTGTAGCAATAGACGTCCGCAACTTTAATACAAGGTTCTTTAGAAAGAGTATTCTATTTATGATGCAACATAGAAATTTGTATAAAACCTAACATATTGTCAAGAAACAATCTTGAAATACCACTAAAAGTAAAATAAGGACGTTTTGCATTAGGAGAGGGAGATTAATTGTAACATGGGATGGATAAGATAATTAATTATATTCTTAACGTGTAGAAATAGGTAACTGGAGCCATTTTTGGAAAATTTGTAGAAGTTTTTAGAATTGGGACTAAGTTGATGGTTAATATAGAGTCCAATATAGAACATTCTAGAAGAATTAAAGGTGGTTATCTAGATGGGGCCTATCTCTAAAACCTTCTAAAAGAGTGATTATCTTGGTAGAGCCTACTATTATGGATATTTTAGAAAGTTCCAAGATAGTTGGACAAAGTATAAATAGAATTGATCAAGGCCATTTGGAGCATTTGGTTAGATATGGCTTCGGTTCTTTTCTTTCAATAAAGTTTGGTTTGCATTTTATGTTCTATTCTATTCTATTTCTTTTTGCTTTGTTTTGTCTTTCATATTCTATTCTATTTTGTTCTGTTCAATTTTGTTCTAGTCTATTTTGTCCTACTTTGTGATGAGATTTATATTATTATAGATTAGAAGGGTTTTAGATCTTTAAGAGAATTCAATCGCATTTCACTAAGGATGAGAATAGCTCCACGAAAATGATGAAAATTAAAATTTTATGTTTATCAAAATGATTTGTTTAGATGCTTATGCCTTAGAAAAAATAATCTAACAAATAGAGTGGTTTACATCAAGATATGTCTTATGATAATACAAACACAATTTGTAAATAATACAAACACAAATACAATGCATAGTAGGATCTAAACCTTACACCACTATCCAAGTTCAAACTTATAGTTCCTTACATATGGAGAATATTTTTAATCATGCAAATTAATCTTTACAATATATTTTATTATTTATAGAATATATGATTGTTATTTTTAGAAGAGTTTTGTTCCACAACCTATTGTATGTAAACTTGAAGGCACTCTATGGATTATAAGTTGATGAAAATCTATTATTAGTATTTATTCTTCTATAGATGATAATCTAATAGACCATATTTATTTGTAGATCTAAATTTGAGAGATACTTCGATGGAGTCACTAAAAACTAATTTCTACAACTGAAAATTAAAAAGGTTGAATTTTTACTTTAATCTTTATCAAAACAAATAATTTGGTAGATCTAAAAATTTCTAGAGTGCTTGCAGAAGTTAGCAATTGAAGAGGAATAAGTGTAAGTCAAGAAAAAAAGAATATTCTAAAAAATAATTTCTAAAAATAAAATCTTATAATGATTTGACAATGTTTAAAAAAGTCATGAAAGAATAAAACTCAAAATTGCAAACACTATCAAAAAAGTGAATCTTAGACATAATTGTTAGAGTAGAACACTCAAATCACTTGTACCAACCTCTAAAATACATGTCAATTTTATGTAAATAAAAAATATATTTATGTATGAATAAAATTCTATCCCTTGCTTGTTACTTGCTTATTAATCTAAGCTCAAGATATTAGAGGGTTATGAAGGCACAAATGGAAATAGAACCATTTGTTTCTAAATTAAGTCCAACAAATTATATTATGCAATGTAAAATTCATTTGCAAGGCTTGTTTTAGGATTGTTTTATTAAACCTCTTGTACAAAACTTCCTTTCACCATCTTCCTTTGTTAAAAATGTGCATTCCAAATAACAATAAGATACTAAATAATTTTGCATCATCCATGATTTTCTCCACCATCATTATTCTCAAATAAAATAATAATGATAAATAAAATATTTTTTCTTTTAAGAAAGATTTAAGATTATATCATTTTAAAATTTGAGAATTGATTTTGTTTTATTGATCCACATCTAAAAATACAAATCAACATGAGACCATGTATTCCAAATTTAAATTATTATTATTATTTTACTGTGTAATTTTTTCGAATTCTGAATAGTACAAGACCGTACTATTTAAAGTTTCAGATTAGCACCAAACAGGGATTCGGATTGCCACGTAGTATCCAATGATGAAGTGACAACGGACAATCCACTGTCACGTCGTGACTGGGATGGAAGAGAGGCGCTTTGGAAAAATGACTGACGTGGAAAGGACACGGAAGCGGAAGATAGATCCCACCCACTCCCCATCCATGTCAGAATCCACGTCGGATTTCCACGTCAGGATTCACATTGTCCGCATCAGAGCTTCCGTGGCATCTCCGTCTCCTTCACGCTCTCTGCGGAGCCTTGCGTCGTTTTTCTCCTCCTCCTCCGAGTTGAGTGCCCGGTCATCTCTTGTCATCATTTCATTTCATTTCATGTCTCCACTCCTTCTTTTGATCCGCCATTGTAAAGCACCACAGCTCCTCCCGCTCCCACCATTCTCCTCCTGGACTCCGCTCACCATCCCAATTCTCGCTGGATGCCGATTGTGAGTCTTCCCTTTCAGAACCCTGACTTCGAGCTCCGTCATACCATCCCAATTCTCGCTGGATGCCGATTGTGAGTCTTCCCTTTCAGAACCCTGACTTCGAGCTCCGTCATACCTGTAGCTCATTGTAGAGTTTTATCGATTTCTCGTCACCTGATGCTTTGCATATTCCCTCGTTTTTATTTTTTTATTTTTATTTATTTATTTTATTCGGGCATGAAATCGATCTCACCATCTGTATGCTTCATTTTTTAGATTTTGGTAATTGTCCTTACCAATCGACTCTCGTTTCTTGTGTCATCGCATTTGCATTGAGGTACTCGTTCCGTGCGTCGATCTTTGTGCTGATGACTCACTGCTCTGTTGGAGTCTAGATTTTGTGTGTGCTACCTTTTGATTCGATCGATATGTTGTATTTGTTTTGATGGCCTCAATTCTCCTCAATTATTGTTTCGCAATTGTTGGGTAGTTCGTAATTTTCGTAGAGCGATGTGCTTTCGATTAGGTCTTGTGGCTAGAGCGAGTAGCTTTGTACTGTACTTACTACCGCGATTAGTTTTCCTATGTGTTTCATAGTCTAACATGTATTCACATGATCTTCGGGTTTGCTACTGCAGATCAAGCATCAGTCGTATCTGAAATTGTCATCGTCACATTCTTCCCTCAGCATCATTTCAGGTTTGTCCAAGAGGCAAGCGAACCACAATTCTTTTTAGGTTTCTTGTCTGTTTCGTCCCAACCACAAGGCTAGATTACACGTAGCCATAACTTTGAGGTTCATAATTCATCAGTCAGAATGCTCTTATTCCTTCTCTACGAAGTTTTCTTGTAATTCTTTACTCGCTGATTTTAAATTTGAGCTCTCCGTTGAAGGGAAATGAACGGTGCTGGAAGTACTATCAATCACGTCATTTCAATACACAAACATAGTAACAATAGATTGGTGACTATTGAACAGAGGCTATTTATGATTACAACCACTGGGAGCATGAGTAGCAACTAGTTTGCTTATATTTCTCCACTATCGTCGTCGAGGATATCATCCCGCCTGCCTTACTCACAATTTTGGTCTCAGAGAGCCTCTCTCTTGTGGACGTTCTTTGCCCTAAGACATCTTCATTGTAGAATGTGATTGGCAAGGCTTCCATGGCCCAAATTCTTCAGAGAAAAAGTAATCAATGGTCGTGCTATCTTCGAGAAGAATGGATAACATCCGTGTACGCATTGATCGCACCAGGGCTTAACGAAGGAAGCTCATCACTAGGAATTCCCTCTCTTTTACATAGGAATTTCGTCCGTGGAGGTCGAAATCTTGTTCCGGGCGCTGAGGCTTCAAGGTCCGGCTCCAATGGAGGAAACATCGCTGGAGACCTTGATTCTAAGATTACAACTGCCACAAGAGGCTATCAATATCATGCTTTTAGGAAATATTCCTCTCTGTACTGCAAGCTTGGGACGTTTTCAAGGGTGGGTGACTTATCGTCGAACCATTTCCTCGCGGACTTGGCTTCTGCACCAACTGTTCATGGAGTTGATATTAAGAAATCGTTTTACAATGTCTTCAATTCAAGACGGAGGAATTTTATGAGCATGGACCACGAGTTGAATGTTTTAAAAGATGATGTTAAAACGGGGAGTGAGATCTTCGTTAAGAACAAGAAGGCGATGGAAGAGCTTCTGCTTGACCTTCAGCAAAAAGTTGAAAAAGTAAGACTTCAGATATAATCTTACCAAAAGATGATTGAACTGTTTGGGCTGAAATGCTATTGAAATGGGTCTCATTGGCATTGGCTAGATCAACTCATTAATAGCTTAAGCTTATGCAACCAAGTGGAACTACATTTGCACTAAAACTATAGGAACAATTATGGTCAAGTCGAACTTTACATGAAGCACATGTATCTTTCTCTAATAGACTTGTATCATGGGTACTAATGAATGACATTCGATCGTTGGGATTGCATTTCTCAGGTACGGCTTGGGGGTGGAGTTAAAGCTGTTGAACGCCACAAGAGTCGTAAGAAATACTTGCCGCGTGAGCGTATCGACTACCTTCTTGATCCTGGATCTCCGTTCTTAGAACTTTCGCAGGTACTTTCGTCACTTTTACAGATGCCCATCTTATTGTTGTTGGTGTTGTTGTATTAATATCTCAAAATTATTAAACAGGTTAAGTCTCTACTGTTATATCTATAAACTAGTCAGTGAGATTCATGTCGTTCCAAATTTTCTTATGTTGGGCAGTGGGGATCAGTTCTTCAAGGCGTTTAATAGTCCCACTTGTACCTTACTGTAAAAACCTCTGGCTCCTTGTGGTTTCATCTCTGTGATCTTTCCAAGGGCAAAGGACTGAATAGTATGTGCACTGTGGTTATGGAAGTAGCTTGCAGGACATGAATTGTACACCGACGATCTACCATCAGGTGGGATCGTGACAGGAATTGGATCTGTTCATGGCCGTCTCTGCATGTTTGTTGCGAACGATCCTACTGTTAAAGGGGGTACCTATTACCCAATCACTGTGAAAAAGCACTTACGAGCTCAGGAAATAGCATCCCAGTGTAACTTGCCATGCATATACCTTGTTGACAGTGGCGGGGCTAATCTTCCAAGGCAAGCAGAGGTTTTTCCAGACCGCGATCACTTCGGCCGCATTTTTTACAATCAAGCACGCATGTCAGAAGAAGGGATTCCGCAGATAGCACTAGTTTTAGGATCCTGTACCGCTGGGGGTGCGTATGTGCCAGCTATGGCTGATGAAAGCGTCATCGTCAAAGGAAATGGCACAATCTTTCTTGCTGGTCCACCCCTAGTCAAGGTGACTGAAATATCCTAAAGTTTTCTTTTCATTTGCTTCGCGGGCAATTCTTCAGGATGGCTACCTTTCGGGATTTAATTTGGACTCTGGGTAGAGATCAGTATCTAGATTGAAACAACATTTTCCGAATTGGATGGGTTGGTGTTTATTAAATCAGATTTTAATGCACACAACTTGAATATTCTTCTCTATTGTAATTACTGTTAAGATCTAGTTAATATTAACTGAAAATTAGGATAATCGGCTTATATTATATGTTATCTGAGGTGCAGGCAGCAACTGGAGAGGAGGTTAGCGCCGAGGATCTAGGAGGTGCGGCACTGCATTGTAAAATATCCGGTGTTTCGGACCACTTCGCTACTGGTAAATTCTTCTTCTAGACTAAAATTTGCAATGGTGAGAATTTTTTTGGATTTTCTTTGTCTGATCACTAGATTCTCAGAGTGTCATTAGATTTCTTTCAGTTGAAATTTTTGTGATTTTGTGATGAATACTTTGTTTGTGCATGGCAGATGAACTTCATGCACTTGCAATTGGTCGCAAAATAGTGAAAAATATTCACTTTGCGGGGATTACCAACAGATCCTCCCCTAGCAACGTTATGAGTGAGGAATCCAGAGATCCGCTGTACAGCCCAGATGAACTTCATGGTATTGTCCCGGCGGACGCCCGAATATCCTATGATATAAGATCTGTAATAGCTCGCATCGTTGATGGAAGTGAGTTTGACGAGTTCAAGAAACTCTATGGCTCTGTAAGTGCTTCTGCTCAAAATCATATACGAATGAGAGACTGATGCTATTTTTTGCTCTTTCCCGTATTTCGATGACCTTATGCCGAGATGCGCTTTCAGAACATGTTTTACATGCACTCAGCTAATTGACAGGCATGGTTTCGTGATGGTAAGTTTAGAACATACCACTTATACTTTTTGATGTGCGTCGGAGACAGACTCTTGTTACTGGATTCGCAAGAATCATGGGACAACCAGTGGGAATTGTGGGGAACAATGGCATACTTTTCACGGAATCGGCTTTGAAAGGGGCGCATTTTATTCAGCTCTGTGCTCAACGCCATATTCCTTTGATTTTTCTCCAGAATATCACAGGTTTCATGGTTAGTTTCTCCACCGTCTAAAGCAAGTATGTACAACTTGTTTATTTATTTTGAGGATATAACGATGTGTTTGATAAAACACTAAGGGCGCTTTGTTTACCCATGTTACATTCATGTATAAGACTTACACACGTTGAATTTTGCGCTGCGTTCAGTTAGGTTTTCTTATGACGTTAGTGTGGTATGCCTGCAATGTACTACACTATTTACATACCTACAAACCATTGAATACACTCTCAAGCTTAATTTTTACTTCTAAGCACTTAGTTTATTCCCTGAGTTGGAGGATAAGACCAACAGATTTTATTTTAATTTACATTGATTACATTACTTCGTCTGTACTCAATCTTGTTACTCGATGGTGTTGCTTTTGACTCCTTAAGCACGGTGCATGAGTAGGTGGGGTCCAGATCAGAGGCAAGTGGGATTGCAAAAGCAGGTGCTAAGATGGTTATGGCTGTTGCATGTGCCAAGGTGGGTATTCCTCTATCGGAGATCTATCATCTACATTGCATTTTTGCATCTAACTCTTGATTCCGATCTATCAAGACGTGATTGTCGTAGTCCTTTCTTTTATACTAGAGTCGCTTCGTAAGACATCCCTTGCAAAGAACTTGGAGGACAGATGTCAGTTCATCAAGTTCATCGACTCTACGCTTACACTTGCATGTGTCTGGCTTGTTTAAACAATGATTGGAACTTCAGGTGCCAAAAATTACTATCGTGGTGGGAGGAAGCCATGGAGCTGGCAATTATGGAATGTGTGGGAGGGCATACAGTCCCAACTTTCTCTTCATGTGGCCCAATGCTCGAATTTCTGTTATGGGCGGGGCTCAGGTAACAATGTTTGAATCCCGGTTGACGAATAGTGTCTATAAATGTGACATGTTATCGAGCAAGTCCAACCATGTACACCAGTTTCCCAAAATGTGAAAACAATTTTTCGTTTTACAAAATCAACCGTCCCTCAGATGATAATATATTGCGGATACAAGACCACGCTACGCCTGTGATACGATTCGATTGTACTATTACGACGTTGAAAGTCCTAAATTGAAGAACGCCTATGTGATGAACAGGCTGCAGGTGTTCTAGCACAAGTTGAGAGAGACAAGAGAAGGCGCGACAAAACTGAAGTAAGTTCTCGTGTCTACAATCATTTATCGTTATTAAAAGTGTCAAGAATATGTCTTTAGAGCGAATTATGGCCGTCACATCGAATTGATGTTATGTGCACATGATTACTCACATGATTGGACTTCCTAACGATTTATAAACTTTTGTCTGACCTACTCCCATATGATCTTGTTCTTCTGCGCAATGACATTTAAAGTGGAGTGAAGAGGAGGAGGAAAAGTTCAAGGAGAAGGTGATGCAAGGGTATGATCGAGAAGGACACCCCTATTATGCGAGTGCACGGCTCTGGGACGATGGCATTATTGATCCAGCAGACACTCGACGGGTTCTGGCGCTCTGCCTCTCTGCCTCTCTGCAAACGTCTCCAAAGGAGACGAAGTATGGAGTCTTCCGGATGTGATTGTTGAATGTAAAGTGCCAGGAGTCGTCTCTCATTTCAACCCATTGCTTAAAAAATGTATAATATAGTGATTCGTTTGTAATGAAAAATCGTATAGTTAACTAACTTCGTGCCTCACCTATCATAACGTGATCCTAAGTTAATTTGCATCCAGTCATGAATATTGAGTCGGCCTTCGTTTGAAGATTGTTGTGTGTATACTCAAATGCAGGACTCATTTGTACCGTCTTACAGTCTGATGGGAGTTTTACTTGTAACCTAGAATACCCAATCCCTTTTATATATCAATGGTATTTTATATATCGATGGTATAAGCAAGTTTATTCAACAACTCTCTACCTGGTTACAAGTGAAAGTCACGAGGGAACTTCGAAGTGATTGCAAGTCTATTTGAAGTTTTTATACCAAACGCCTTCAGACGAATTAGTGGGTCATCTAAGCAGTGACCCAATGGTAAGGGTATTAATTTAGGAAATCTCGGAAAAGGGGCTCACAAAAGGCGGAGTGGGGGAGCTTTATACAAGCTTTAAGATAGTTCATTAGTCCAGTGACTAAACATAGAGGGTGTTCTATTTCCATGAGTCCAGTGACTAGGTCTAACATCCAGTGACATCTACATTGATCAGAAACAGGATAGGCTAGGGGTTGGTTAAAATGATGTTAACATGTGGATATGCATGAATTATCTATAGGTGGCAATTGTTGATTGGTTGGAGTAGAATAACAATATAATTAGGTGACACACTTCCTGATTTTGTAAAAGTTAGATTTTTAATTTTGTAATCCACCATTGATTGGAATTAGATTGTCCTTCATGTTGGAAATTGATCAAAGAGAATCTTCAGCTAAAACATTTATATGAATTCCATTTTTGGGCCAAATTGTGTGAAAATACTTCAAATCCTCTTCATTTCTATTTTCCTATTTGGGATTTTTTTTTTTTTTTTTTTTCTTCATTTTTACACTTATTAGATATATATTGAAGTACTTAAATTATGGGAATTGGGTTGTCTACAAGCATTTAGTAGAGCCAAGTATGGCATCATTGCCATCAATTAATAACTTTAGAACAAACTAAAGTAGTGATGGATTTGTTGTAATTTATGTGTAGTATGCATTTCATTGTTTGTCACTTTTAGCAGAGTGTGTACATCCAAGAATTCAATCCAAAGACTTATTAGATTTTGATTTAGACATGTAAACAACTCAAAGGTGAATAAGTTTTATAAGTCTTATAGAATTTGCCATACAATTTGTTTATTAAGAAGCAAAAGTTTTAGTAGAGTATGTACATCCAAGAATTCAATCCAAAGATTGTTTAGACTTTGATCTATACATGTTAATAATTCAAAGGTGAATGAATTGTGCAAGTCTCATCTAATTTACCATACAATTTGCTTATTAAGAAGCAACAAAAACTATAGTCATGTTCCTTGTGGGACTTATGACATGTATTTGAGAATCAAAGTGCATTTGGGACTAATCAAATCTTATGAAGAAATTGATTTCCTAGCAAAAAACTTCTTCGATGATTCTTCATAATGATTAAAGTAGTAAGCTAAATTAGTACAAAAGTAGAATTTTGCAAAAAAATGAATCCATAACTTAAGAATATTCAACCATGTCATCTTTAATATTGCAAAAAGTATCGATTCATTTTGAAATGCAATCTCAAGAAAATTCTTGTGAACTCAATTTTTTCAATACATCTGTAGAGCCACAAGATTAATTTATTCATAAATAGAAATTATGATAAAAAAGTATTTTCTTTTGGCTCAAGGCAATTTCTTATAGATTAAAATCCATCCAACAAAAGTAATCTTAAGATTGATAGTTGCTACGTCATTATTCTTTCTTAGGCTAACTGATGATCATCTAAAATCTAAATTTATTAGCATGGTTTCAACATCACACTTTAGAGCATAGGAAATCATTGAGATAGTTAGTTTTGTTAATTATCTCTCTCCCCTGGAAGCTTCTTCTTTATGAATTTTCTCTTCTTCTTCTTTATTATAGATTGAATTTAATTGCTATTCCAATTGCAATTGTAGAAAAATAGAAGTAATTTTAGACAAAAGGCAAAATCATAGTTGTATATATACTATAAAGTTGTTCTATCATCATACAAAATTTAACTAATTTAAATCAGCAAAAATATAGATTAATATAGAATCCATTAAATCTTAATCTATAATTTAAATTAAAAAATTCTCAAGTATAATCACTTACAATTACATTCCTTGTTTTCATGATATGGTGTTCTTTTTGAAGTTGAGAAAGCTTGGCCTATAATTCAACAATTTTTTACAAATAATCTCTTTTTATTTCATGATTCATTTTTTCTATCTACAATATAGTATTTCACAACTATAATTAAAAATTCAAACTCAACTTAATAAATTAATATTACTCTTCTAAATAAGAATCACAAAGTGACTTTTGTGACAAAAAAAAAATATTATGGCTCAATATATTATGAGTTTTACTCATTATTATACAAGTTTTGATTAGACTTTTGGTTTACGATATATTGGTAAATCTTGAAATTTATCATAGACATACACATGTAAACTAATAATTACCTATAGACATACACATGTAAACTAATAATTACCTATAGATTTAGATAAAAGTAGGTAAAAGTAGGATAATTTCATAATATCTTCCATAGAAGCTTTCTAGAAGCTTCATAGACACTACATTGACTTTATAGGTGTCTTCAATTGACTTTTTAGATTAAAAAAGTAGTCAATAAGTTGGCCATGTGCCACACATACTGGTAGCTTGAAGAACAAGCTAATTATGTGGCCCACATGAAGAAAACTTGCCTTATAAGCTAAGGCATGTGTCTTGCAAAGTCAACACATATTAGAAGTCCTACAAAATATCGCCACATAGCTCCTAGTTATATAGTATATATAGAGGCAAGAATGAAGCCCTCTTCACTCTTATCAAGTCCTTTCTTGCTTCTAGTCTAGATTTAAGAGTCTCTAATTTTCTTATCTTTTGGCAATAGCCATTCTAGTTTCTTTTTAATATACATACTACTTTATTGCTATTTTATCACTTTTCTTTTAACACAAAAATTTTAGGTTTATGCATCTTCTTCTACTTCATATTCTTGACAAATTGATAAGAGTACACTTATAATATTAGAGCTTTATCTTTTCTTGATTAAGAGTGGATTATCCATTTTTTTTATAAGCCATAAGTATATTAGAAGTTGTAGATTATCTTCTTCTAAACTAATATTATTCTTATTTCTTTTTTTGTTCTCAAGTCCCCTCTTCTGTTTAACTTGAACAATATTAGATATTTATTTTCTAAGTATTATCATGGTAGAACTTATTGAAATGAAGAATGCAATGGTACAAATGCAAGAGCAATTGAGGGAGTTAGAGCTTGCAATGCATCAACTCAATTTACTACCATAAGGAATAACAAGAATGGCAAGAAGTGAAGACATAGATATAATTGAAGCTGCTTCAACATTTGGATCCAATCATATTTCTTTTCCTATGGTGGAATATCCTTCTTGTACTAGGGAACCAAGAGTTTCCTTACCTAAGAAGTTTTATGGCACAAGATCCAAGTTTCAAAGATTTATCAATCAAGTACAATTTGTGATTGAACTTTAATTCCAAAGCTATCCAATTTCAGGATCACAAGTTAGATTCATTGGTACACTTCTTTCAGATTCAGCATTATCGTGGTTTTCATGTTTTTTTGAATGATCAGATCTAATATTAGATAATTTGGAGGTTCTTTTAGTAGATTTTTGATTCATGTATGAAAAACATAATGCAATTAGTGTTGCAACCAACAAGATCTATATTTTATAACAAGGTAATCAATCCATAACATTATATGCTTTACAATTTTGACAACTTGTAATTGATATCAAATAGAATGATGCTGCACTTATTAGCCAATTTTTCTATGAATTACAATAGGAAGTAAAGAAATTGATTCTCAACTTACTTGATCCTCAAATATTGAGTCCATCAATTGATTTTATTATAAAGAATAACAATTGACTTTTTGAATTTTAATCTAAGAGTTGGATAAGGGGGCCTCACCGTTAATATAATTCAATGGAAACATCAACACCTCCTCAACACATACATTCAAAAGTAGAAGATATGCAAATTGATGCAGTGTGTTTCAAATCTCTTACTAAGCAAGAAAAGACTCATCGCCATCAAGAAGGATTATGCTTATATTATAGAAAATCTAAGCATATTGTTCAACATTATTCAAAAAAACAACACAATTATAAAATTAGAAGTATGAATGTCAAAGAAGATAATATATCAAAAAACAAGTTTATCTAGCTACAATAGGAATTGTGCGGCTAGAATCTTGTACAATACCTAATAAAAGTCTTATTTTCTCCTCAAAACCTTCTTCTTGTTTTATTTTAAATATTATTTTAAGACTTATATATTATAAAGCTTGTACCTTATTAGATTCAGGAGCCTCAACATGTTTCTTAGATGAAGAATTTGCTAAAAGACTTAACATATCTTTAGTAAGAAAAATTAAACGTGTTCATGTAGAAGACATAGATGGTCACTTCTTATCTTTTGGAGAAGTTACTCATGAAATCCTTCCTATAGAAGTAATAATTAATGGTCATAATAGCTTTATGATATTTAATATCATTAGATTTCTTTCTAATCTAATTATTTTAGATTTATCATTGTTAAAAAAAATACAATCCTTAAATAGATTGGATTTCTCATACTCTCAACTTCCCTAAAAGTATAACTAAGGGTGTAATTAATTAAGTAGAAAATCACAAGTCTAATATAATTAAAATTATGTTTATAGGAGCAAGAGCTTTTTTGTATGTTACAAAAGAAGGATCGCCTTGTATCATTTATGCCACACTCATTTCTAATGGTGCAAAAAATTCAAGTAGTATTCCAAGCCAATATCAAAATTTTCAAGATGTATTTGAGAAAAAAAATGCGGATACTCTTTGAGAACATTATCTTTATGACTGCTCAATTGACCTTCAAAAAAGAGCACAACCACCATTTGGACCAATTTAAAATTTATTACAAAATGAGTTACTTGAACTTAAGAAGTATATTGAAGAAAATCTAATCAAAAACTTCATACTCCATTCCAAATTTCTAGCAAGACCCTCAATTCTATTTGTAAAGAAAAAAGATAGATCATTAAAAATATGTATTGATTATCGAAGATTCAACAAGATCACCATCAAGAACAAGTATTCACTATCTTTAATATGTTGACTACTTGATCAGTTGAATTAAGCTAAGAACTATATAAAAATAAATCTATGAGGAGCACACAATCTGATACATATAGAAATAGATGAATAGAAGACTGCATTTCAAACCAAGTACATACATTTTGAATATAATGTCATGCCTTTTGGACTTACAAATGAACCAACAGCTTTTCAATATCTTATAAATGATGTTTTTTGAGATTTTTTAGGTAATTTCGTTGTCTGTTATCTAGACAACATCTTAATTTATTTTAAAAATATAAAAGAATATGAATTTTATACTTTTCATGTGTTAAAAAAATTAAGAGATATGGGATTCTATGCCAAGATAAAAAAAGATTATATATTCTATACTACTCAAGTTAACTTCTTAGATTACATCATTTCAAATGATGGACTTATAATGGATCTTAAGAAAGTTCAAACTATTATGGATTAGAAGATCTCAAAAACGGTCTGAGATGTCTAATGTTTTTTAAGATTTGTTAATTACTTTTGCATCTTCATCAAGGACTTCTCTTAAACTGCAGCTCCACTTACACATTTGATTAT